TCCCACACTCTAGCCTATATTCAATATGCCAAATAAGGAGCAGTCATTCACAATGGAGACGGGAAGTATGTCTTAGAAGGGAAATTCATCGAAACTCGTCTAATATAGTAATACTCCACAAATTTAAGGTCTCTTTAGTCAGTTTATTACCCTTTGAGCTGGACTTATACCTCAATATGGACTTCCATTATTTGCATACCAACCTGCAGTAACATTTCTGTAACAGTGGACCTAGCAATCCTGGCAAAAAAATATTGTGGCCAGCGCGCGCGGAAATAGATATATCATCCTTGGCCACTATATACGTGCAAAACAGCAATGTTTAACTTCCCCCTCCCCCCGGTTCAATGTTGAAAGCTTATATATTTGCAAAATGCATGTCAAGACCAACATTGTAGGGGGGGAGTGGGGGAGACAAAGACGCCAACAAGTGTATGCCGGCAGTAACACTTTAGTTTACACCTCAGTGTCTACGGAATTTTTGCCAAGATTGTAGCTTTGTGTGAAATAGACAAATAGTACCACTCTGGCACAATCTACCGGCTAATATAAGACAATCTACTTCCTTATCAACATTCAAAACGAAACTTTATTTATCCTACAGCGCAAAACGTGGGAACAGCTTTGACACCGAACGTATAAGAACATGGAAAACTGTGTGCCCTTAATGCAGGGTCAAATTAGGGAGATTAAATATTGCTGGGCCGAATAACCCTTAAGGCCCGGTCACACTACACAACGATAACGATACGATAAATTGTAAACACGCGATAATTGGCAAAAAAAAATTGTGTTAGTGTCCACACAACAACGAAAATGATAAAATTATCGTTAGACGATAACGATAACGATTTTAAAATCGCTCACCTGAGCGATTTTTTTTTCAGCCGGACGATAACGATAAATTTTTGACCAATCAGCGCGCATATACAAGTTATCGTATCGTTATCGTTGTGTAGTGTGACCTGGGCTTTATAGAAGTTGTTATGCCACGCAATTTTCAACCATCAAAACATTAGGCATACGCAATGCAATTTTTTTTTTTGGGGGGGGGACTATCTAATTACTTTACGGTTGAGTAAATCTGTTCAACCTTAAAAGCATCAATACTGCATGTGGTCCTCTCCGACCATGTGGGGGCTCATTCACTTTTTAATTTTATTCATTCCTTTCACTTTCAGAGTTGTATTGTTATGTTTGCCAAGGGGTTAACCTCGCTGAGACTTGTGTATGTACTCATATGTTGTTTATAATTAACTTGATGAAAGTTTCTAAATAAAAAAATAAATAAAAAAGTCTTATATACTGTGTAAGTAGTAGATGATTATCAATTTTTACAGGTTAGCAAATTGACTAAAATCTGTAAAGAAGTTTAAATATAAGTTCTTAACGAGCCCAAAGTCAAGAGTGAATATTAAATAAAACTTAATTGCCACGCAACGGAAGAGTCAGTCCTGACAAGACTAAGAGACAATTATTACCCGTGCTACGTACCTCGTCGGGTACAGCTTACATACAACTCGAGTTCAAAGTATAATTGTTATTTATTACACTGGCCTGTAGGCCAAGTGTCTTAAATCCCTCTTTTTCTGTTTTCTGTTTTCGACGAGAAATGGAGTTTGCGTTAGGTCATCGCAGGCTCAGGGTGCCACGTGCTCCAGTGACATATTCAGTTCAGTTTCAAAATGGTGGCTTTTCACCGAGCGATCTAATATATATTTCACACAGTTTCGTTGAATTTTCAAAGAATTGTGCCGGTTTCCTATGGATTTTACGTTGTGTCGCACTCTGGCCTTTCTTGCGTGTTGAATTAGTGTGTTTTTCTTTGTGTAACGACTCGAAAACCCTAAAATTTGGACCCAGCGAATTTATACAATATAGTGGAATATAAACAAGGACAAGTTAAAGGTTTGACAGTTTGACTTTTTAATTAACAAGTATAAATATACGTTGTACGTAGGCTCATAAACATGCGTTGTGCTCTTGTATTTATTTGCATAATTATAAATTTGCACCTAATTACATTAATTTGCGCCAAATTACTTTCTAATTCATCATATATTACTATAAAATGTATGTTTTCGATTGTATTCAGCGAGGTGGCGTTGCGTGCGGCGAATTGAAACGTGATACGGTTCGATTTGTTTTTGGAACAAGATCCAACTTTCCCCCCACTTTTTTAATTCTCAAATTGTTTATTAGATGTTTACTGGTTGGGGTTAGAGAAGGGCTTTGGGTTGGGATCAGTTTATCTTATAAATGGAAGCAAATTGGCGTATTTTTTAGAAGAATCGTCTACGTCTATGAACTTTTTAGCACCTGAAACTAGCCATATAACGGCATTAAAAATCAAGGACTATAATTTCTTCGCTATTATTGGCCCGTCATTATTCACGGTTGGTAGTTGATGATCATAGTACTACAGTGGACCTTGGCTTGTCAGGTTGAGTTGCCCGTAGCCGGAGGGTACGTCTGAGCCGGCGTCTTGGTATATTATGGTTGATAGTTGCTGATCATGATTGTATTTATTGGTTGTATTTATATGATCCAGTATCCCTATGATCCTGTATCCCTATCTACTTCTCTACTACACATTACACCCAGTACCACGAAAGTTGCCATTTTCAGGCCAGTGTGAACGCCTGAGCAGGCGTCTTGTTATTTATTAAAATAGTCTTTTGTTGAAAAAAATGAGTTTAAAAAAATGAGAAAAAGTTTGAGAAAGTTTGCTAACTTTACTAGTTAAAATTAAGTTGTTAACTTTACTAATCAAAAAGACATCTATTTAAAAACGTCAAAACAATTGTTTGAATCTTTCTGTCTTTATTTTTGGCATGATGAATTTATGTGCCCGTTCCCGTAATAGTCACTGCTTCTTAGCAGGAAGTAACTCATATAAATTTTGTTCTGGATTCTTCCTTATCTTATCAAATAAGCATTTGTCTTTTTCTTCAATTACATTTGGTATTTTAAAGATTTTTCTAGTATATCCAAATCTGTGGGTCCTTTTAAAAAATTTAAATAAAAAATTTAAATTTAAATTCTGTCTAGATATTTCGTCCCCAGAACAGAACCCCATACTTCACATCCATACAAGAAGAGAGACATAATCAGCGACTCAAACAAGTTCGTCAGCTGCTATATCGAGTATTCATAATATCGGCATATTCCTAATATGTACATGCGGCTACTAGCTTTAGCTAGTAAATTATCAACGTGCATAATTATCAACCCAACAGCAGGGTTCATCTTCACATAAACACCAAGTAATTTCAACCACGTTTTCGTTCCAAACCTGAAATCGAGGGTGGAGGTGGTTTTGTGGTCATTTCTCATGTTTTTGATAGATTTAAGGCTGTTTATTTTTGACCAATACTCTTTACCTCAGCAGATGCAGAATCACAATTCGATTTAACTGGTGCGCTAATGGTCATATCGTCCGCGAATTTCATTAATAGGTTGTTACGCGGATTCTTAACTGTTATATCATTAATCATTATTAAAAAAAAATAGACCAAGGACCTTGCGGTACACCCTTGTTAATATCTACGTAGCTTGTTTCTGTTCCATTGACTACAACTTTTTGTTTTCTATTGGACAGAAAACTTATGATCCAATTGGTAATATATGGGTTAATATTGACTGTTTTTAATTTCTCACATAGAATGTCATGTGGGACAGAATCGAACGCTTTCTTAAAGTCAAATGATATCACTCGAACGTGATCACCTTCCTTATCTAACCACTTGAACCATTTATGTTGACACATTATTAAGAGCATCCGTCGTGTTTGTACCTTCTTTGTAGGGAAATTGATCTCATTTATTCACCGACTTAAGCTCCCGTGAAATTTCTTGCTTAAATACTTTCTTTCAAACAACCTCATAACTACTTTCGTTAGTGGGTATATGGTAAAACGCGGACTGGACTCTATTAGTAAAACGCGGACTGGACTCTATTAGTAACTAACGCGGACTAGGACCACAATTTCGCCGCAAAATTTGACCAAAATGGGACAAAATGGCAGTGAGCTTTAAAATCCCAAGAAATCTGAACAGTCTGAAAAGAAAGGCAAAAAAGGAACCAGAGTTGCCAAAGTTTGAGTGGAAACTTTTCGAAAAAGAAAAGAAGTTGGGTTGCAGTACTTTGGGTCCGTATACCTGTAGTCCCTATAGGAAAACAAAAAGAATAATGTCGAGTCCATTGACTCGAAATCCCTTTTTTCGTGAAAGAAGCCGCACTGTTGAACAGTACAAAAGGCCACAGGAACATAATCTGGTTCCTTGGGTTTTGTGAAGAACCATACTCAATCAGTGGCGTAGCCAGCTCGATAAGTGGGGTGGGGGGGGGGGGCGGGCGGGACATATTCATATATTCGTGTTCTGCATTATTAATCTTTTGAAATTGATTGTTTTTACGATCTGTGAATACGAACATATGAATATGTCCCCCCCCCCCGCCACTTATCGAGCTGGCTACGCCACTGTACTCAATAATGATGGAGTATTCTTGCTTCAATTTTCGCCCGTTTACAGAGTTGCAAATTAGAGATCTTGAAGATTTTAAAGATCTCTAGAAGATTTTGCCCATTTCGTAGACGACGAGTTTGACTTTGCCTCCTTCGCAGACTTGTTATTGGATTGTCTTTTTATAATGTGTGTAAATACGACCAACGAAATCACCGTTTTGGCTTCTCCGACCTTAGTTTTCTCACCATGCATTTTTTGGCTTGACCTTGCATTTTTGGCTTGCATTTTTTGGCATCAAGTATATCAATATGACATACATCATTGTCTGATTATACTTGAAAAAGCATACACTCAATGAAAATCACAACTTACATGTTAGACTAAATTTTAATCTAAGTAAAGAGATGGGAATCAAACACCACAGCTAAAAAGTGCATAACGAAATTAGTAAAATTGCAAAATTTGGTTTCGAAATTATATAAAGCTTGGAAAATACAGCCTTGTAAAGTTTGCAAAATTTGTATATGTTTGTAGTTAATACGTGCGAAAATTGTTACCATTTTCGGCTCAAAAATGGTAACAATTTTCGCACATATTGAATACAAACATACACAAAATATGCAAACTTTGCAAGGCTATATTTTCCGTACTTTGCAATATTTCGTAACCTTATCCCATACCTGTGTTGAAAGCGGCTTTCTGATTGGTTTAGAGCAGGTGAGCTTGTCATCGAGCTCACCTGCTTTTTGCCCGAACTCAACTGCTCACGTTGTAATAACAATAACAAATATGGCGGACAAGATTTAGCCGATAAACCTAAACTTTAATTAAAGAACTTTTTCGGTGACTAACATACTGAGACTGAAGAAAAACCAAAGAAAAAATTGCAATAAATGTAATCTAGACGTAGATAAAGAAGTATTAAGAGCCCAGTGAGATTTTTTTTGGCCGAGAAAATGTCGACAAAACATCGACGAATATATCGCAAAGAGCTACAATGTGTACGTATCGCCAGATGACTCGGTGTATGGGATAAAAACCAAACATACTTGCAGGTTTGGTGAGTCCGGGATTAGACGCACCTCGGGTGGCTAGAAGTTTCCCGAACTCACCTCGCTTCGCTCGGTGAGTTCGGGAGACTTCAGCCACCCGCGGTGCGTCCAATCCCGCACTCACCGAACCTGCAAGTATGTTTGTTATATTATATATTATCCCATACAGGGCCGCCGAGAGGGGGGGGGGGGGGGGGGGGGAATTGCCCCGGGGCCCGAGTTGCTGAGGGCTCCTGAAAACGTTTTCTTGGGCCCCAGTCTTTTTTGTGTGTTAAATATTTCCGCGCAAAGGACAAGATATATGTTTTTTGGGATAAATACGGAAATTTGGCTTAAAAAATAAAGTCCCTGGAAAGCAATTGCAACGTACTCGTGTCCCAGACTCACCTCCCCGCAAATATGTTTGTTATAAAATTTTGCAATTTTAGTAATATTAATAAGTTCTTTATGGGAATTTACTTTTTGCCTAGAACTGACAAAAATCAGTCTAACATGCAAGTTGTCTATTTTTGATGCATTCCAATCAAAATTAAGTATTGCAAAGAGATTATCTTAATTTATAATATTTATTCAGTAAATGCGGATACTGATACAGAACTCATCAGCGATATTTTTGGTGTGCAAATATTTCAAATCTGCGACAACATCTTTGGCACATGCTGGCAGCAAGTCTGCGAAGGAGGCAAAGCTAGAGTGCAAATTAAGGCTTTTTAAGAATACTCCATCATTATTGAGTATGGTTATTCACAAAATCCAAGGAACCGGATTATGTTCCTGTGGCCTTTTGTACTGTTCAACAGTGCGGCTTCTTTCACGAAACAGAATTTCAAGCCAATGGATCATTATTCTTTTTTTTCCTATAGGGACTATAGGTATAGGGACCCAAAGTACTGCAACCCAACTTCTTTTCTTTTTCGAAAAGTTTTCACTCAAACTTTGGCAACTCTGGTTCATTTTTTGCCTTTCTTGTCAGACTTCTTGGGATTTTAAAGCTCGCTGCCATTTTGTCCCATTTTGGTCGAATTTTGGCGCGAAATTGTGGTCCTAGTCCGCGTTTTACTAATAGAGTCCAGTCCGCGTTTTACTAATGAGTCCAGTCCGCGTTTTACCAGTCCAATCCAGTCCATGCAGTCCAGTCCGCGTTTTACCATATGCCTCGTTAGTGCTCGTTACATTCAGCCACAGGGGATTCTTTTGAAAGTGCATTAATATTAGCATGTTTCCACAAAAGGGAATGTTCCAATGAAAGGTTGAATAGCTTCGTTACCACCGGAGCTAAATATTGAGAAAACACTTTCCACAGCTGGTAAGGAAGACCGTCAGGACCTGGCAACGTTCGTTTCTGCGTTTGTAAGTATCTTTGTTTGAACAGTAACACATCAATGGTTAGCATACGAATGCCTTCCGGTATGGAAATAAGTTCAGGTTAATTGTCATCACTGTTGATCATTTGAAAATACAGATTTATATCTTCATTTATATTTTATATATATATATATACAGTATATATATATATATATATATATATATATATATATATATATATATATATATATATATATATATATATATATATATATGAAGGTGTTTGAGGTATCATGTCTGGTATTAATAATGAGTGGTTTGTATTCTTCTTCAGACATTAAAATTTTAATAAAAAGTTAAAAATATTAAAACCGTCCAAACGTTTCTCCGATTAAGGCTTCTTCAGTGGACTAATTGTTCGAGTAATATTAGGTTCCTTATATACCTAATCACTGACAAATGTTAAAATTAATTATGACTATGAATATTCAAATCTAAAACAATAAAACAATATGGTTCTATACACATGCTTATTTACCTATTGTTATATGCGAACGTTATACATTAATTACTCTCCCAATACAACCATTCATTATCTCCCCTGAATGTTTTTGAATTTCGATGGCCTCAATACATTTACGTTCATCATTGTATCTAATGTTCTTGTGAATGATTCTTCAAGTAATGTCTTCCTGATTTGGTTTGTCCTTTTTACTCTTGTGATTCATTATATGTTTAAACACTGTTTGTTTATCCATTGATAAATGTTCTTTTATACGCGAGCCAATGGTCCTCCCGGTTTCTCCAATATACAAATTTCCGCAATGTGAACAATGAATTTTGTATACCACATTCTTCTTCAAGCATTGATTAGATTTCTTAGCACTTTTAGGGGTCTCGCATTTATGCACTTTTACAGGCCTCGCACTTTTACAGGTCTCGCATATATATTAGCACTTTTACAGGTCTCGCATATATATATATATATATATATATATATATATATATATATATATATATATATATATATATATATATATAAATGACAAGAATGCCATCAACCTAACTAATACGCATGATCTGACCCCCCAGGTGGGTGGGGTGAATACCCTAGGAATTTCGCCCCCTTTATGATATTCGCCCCCACCCCCCATATGTGCGATGTAGTTTATTCAAATAGTTTCGTGATACTTTCATCTTATTAGAGCCTTACACGTTTGAGAATTTAACTCTGCAAAACTGAAGCTTTTGGTCTTTTTTGAAACGTATTATTGGAGTATTCGCAAGTTTTACCATTCAGAGATTTTCAATCTAATATTGAAACTGTAAAAAACAGTTTCATGTATACGCGCATTCACTAATGAGTAATGACAACTTATAATCCATACATTTTCCGATAACGACAAAACGCTTGTGTAGCCTTTAGTCGCTCTTAGTAACTAATAATTCTTTTGAGGGGG